TAAAACTAATTTCCTGTAGTGTTTTTGTTTATTTTTTTACATGAGACAACTGATTACTTACTTGAAGGAGCCTGTGCGATAATAACGTGTACGTGAGAAGTACACTATAATTGCAATTATAACAAGCAGGACAAACAGGCCAACAGTGACTCCGGCAATGACTCCAGCTTTACTAACAACAGTATTGCATCGATCCCCCAAGTACCAATAGTCATCTGATATCTCACAGCTGAAAAGATAGAGAGTTGAAGGACATTAGAAGGATGGTCAAGGACAGATCCTTTCCACCACATGACCCTACTGTAGGCAGACAACTAAGGTTTCAGGTCACATCTCTCAAAAAGAATATGATCTTATTTTATTGGACCTAACCTGACTTAAAGCGGAGTTCCACTGACCTGTCAAAAAATAAAAGTCAGCAGCTACAAAAACTGTAGCTGCTGACTTTTAAAAAAAGCCACTCACCTGTCCCTCGGTCCCATGGTGTGTGTCCCCCCACAGCCCATTTCACTGGCTGTCCTGTATTCAAGGAAGCCGATGTCTTCAGTTTAGGCACCCGGCTGTGGCAGCTTGCGGCTTCACAGCCGGGTACCCACTGTGCATGCGCGTGAATCGCTGCACTTCCTGAATGGTCCTGTAGTCTTCTGGGACCTGTAACATGTCCCAAAAGACTACTTGGAGGTAGGACATCTTCAGCTTGCAATCGCCTAGGCTCCAGAAGTGGGAACGGGTACCTGTCAAATTTGGGTACCCGCCCCCAAAAGTGCCAATCCTTAATGGGGAGCGGGGGAGTAGTCCTTAAAGCTGTACTTCCCCTTTTGGGTGGAGCTCCGCTTTAAAGAATGGCAATCAGTTTGATACAAGAGAAGCATTATGCCTTAATGTAAATCAAACAGATTGAACTCATTGCATCTCTAAGGTGAATGGGTAGAGGAAGAATATCATGTCTGATGCAGGGGCGGACTGACAACTCATGGGGCCCCCGGGCAATAGGGGATCATGGGGCCCCTGTGTCCTTGCCCAAACTCAAAAAAGCCTATAAAAAAGGTACCAGGGGCATCTCATCGGGCCCCCTACTGACCCCGGGCCCTCGGGCAGTGCCCGACTTTCCAAATGGTCAGTCCGCCCCTGATCTGATGTCTACCAAATCATGATTTTGTTCTGTGTTTCCTTTTGGGTGGAGCTCCACTTTAAAATATTGTAACAATATGTAAATATACTTATGCTAGAATATTGTATCTCCACTGATGATTGAAACACGTGTTGCCTATAATTATACAAGGGAGTAGAGCTTCCATTCAACACTTGGTCTAGACACATGACCAGATTTGCCACCTTGCCAATCAGTAATATTTAGCACTTGGCACTGCCTAACTGGCATCTTAGTACTGCTTCAGGAGCACCTGTGTCTAGACTAAGGACATTTTTAAAAGCAATAAAAAAAAACTTTAAAACAATCCCTAATTCTCCTTTCTAGTTGCACATAGTTTGAAGTACTTAATCCTCAAAGGTCCTCAAATATGACAAAAAAACACTAAAGTTTATAGTCTATTTCCAACATCATAGAAACAGCTGCCCATGGATTTTCAAAAGTCAGGCTACTAAGATCTGCTGTCATGGAAGAAAATCTAGCATTTCAATGCATGTCTTGTGAAGTAAGAGAGTAAGGGAGGGTTATAACCCCTGTCAGTTTTTTTTTTTTTTTTTTTTGCTATCTGTATCCCATAGGGGAGATTTCCCTTCACTTCTTGTCCAATAGCCAAAAAAGTAAGTGAGAGGAAATTCCTCCACAGTAAGGGAATCTCAGTTGTCACCAGAATTAGAGTCCCCATTGGAGGATTTCCCCTCTACTTCTGCTCTGATGACAACCCAAAAGTTGGGCTTTACTTTCACTTTCGGTGATAATTGTAACCAGGACAAATATAGAGCGTGAATCCACCTAACAGGGGCACAGACAGCAATAAAGTCTACACAACCGTTCTAATGCCTCTTCCCTCTATCCAAAACAAAAACATTTTTGCCTTTAGTTATACTTACATTTTTCCACAATGCCTATGGATAAGGAGAACTTAAAGCACTTTTACTGCTTGTTCAAAATATGCAAATAAACACAATATGGAAATATATGGAATATATATGGAAACATCCAAATATGCACGATATGGGCACAGGTTCACTTTAAACTATGGATAAAGAAAGCATGTCACAGAAAGGGAAAATCCCAGGTTGGTGGGTTGGTAATTATTAGGCTGGTTTTAGAGTCAAGAGATAGGGAGGTAAATTTAAGTGCTAGCATCCCGGGAAGGTGGTTGGGTTTATTCTAAGTGTTAGTGTGGAGCTTTAAACCCAAACTCTTGCAGGCAAAGTTCTCACTACACTTCTCTTGCCCAGCTCCACAATCTTCAATCTAGATCCTGTGGATGCGTAGACTTTGCCAGGTCTTTGGGACTTGAATTTCACAAAGTATCTTCACGTGCACTGAATCACCCATGCATGCACAGACATGCTGCTAGGCTTTTCTAGTGAACTGGCAGAGACCCCACAAAAATTTATGGACGTGTGCGAGATTTCACAAACCAGCAGTTCATGGGATCTCATGCAGAACCATGGCAGGGGCTCCTGGAGAGACCTGCAGCATATCTGCTCACGTGCTGGGTCCACAATATGAAGTTAAGAAAAAAGCAAGCAAAGGAGGAGGAGACAGGAGAGGGGCCCTTAAAGTGTATTCCACTTCTACATCCAAATTGGAACATCGCCTACTTTATACAGTATGTGTTACATGTTCCCATTAACATAGCATAACTTAAAGGAAAAAAAAAATATGCCGAAACATGGCTACAGCGTGTCTCTTTTGTTCCAGGAGGGCATCCATAGACATTCTTCCGGAACCACGCCCCCCCTGGACACAGCTGATCACATATTGTGGTAAAGGGCCAATCACAGCGGCCTTATACAACGTGATCATCTGTGTCCAATCACAGCTGATTACAACGTAAACACACCTGTCGGTTATCGGCATTTCCTTTCTTCGTGCCCTGTCACAGCATGAGGAGAGGAGAGCCAGTAACTAGCAAGTGTGATAGGGCAAGTACATAGATAATCAGGGCACTGCTCATCAGTTCCCTTATTATCAGTGCAGCGCCATCAGTGCACATCAGTGCTGCCCATCAGTGCATCCTATCAGTGTCCATCACTGCTGCCTATCAGTGCCCCCTCATCAGTCCCCCTTATCAGTGACCATCAGTGCCACCTATCAGTGCCTATCAGTGCCCATCAGGTCTGCCTATCCATACCTATCAGGAGAAAAATTACTTAATTGCAAAATTTTATAACACAAACAAAAAACAGTTTTCTTTATTAAAAAATTTCTGGATGCAAAAAACAAAAACACAGTGAAGAATAAATACCACCAAAAGAAAGCTCTATCTGTCTAAAAAAATTATAAAAAATTCATATGGGTACAGTGTTGCATGACTAATGTCCTAACAAAGGGCTACAAATGTAGAAACTGCCCTCATGTATTATATATTAATGAGAATAATCCATGACACCTTCACCTTAGAAACATCTAAAAGGTAAGAAAAATTTTTCATGTATACTCCTAACGTATGCTGTGTGAATGGCAACACATACCCAGCCTATAATGGGGTTGTCTCAAATGTGGCTTCAGTAATGGAAATACACTTTTACCCCTTTGTGCCGGTACCTCCTGGCCCTTCAAGAGGTTTCAGAAGCCGGGAGGCCAGGCAGGGGTTTGGGTCATGTGACCGCCGTGATTCGCTGTCATATGATCGGAAAAGGTCCCAATCGCAAGGGGAGATTGGGACATTTCTGTGAGTCATGGATACATGTGCTGGGAGTGCGCAGGGCGCATGCTCTCAGCACATATGTATTTTCAAAAGGTACACAAATATAAGGCCGCTTGGTGTCAAGTCCCAGACACCGAGAGGTCACATATTTGTGTGTGAGCTTGACGTCTAGGGGTTAAGGAGAGGGGTGAAGGTCTGCTTGATGTTCAATAAGAAAAAAAAGCCAATCCTGCCAAAAATCTAGTGCTTTTCAGTGCAATTTGACAAGTCGTCTCAAACATTGTTAGGCAGCACACTGTCTAAGTGGATAGCACTTTTGCCTAGAAGCACTAGGGTTATTGGTTCTAATCCCAACCACAACACCACCTGCCTGGAGTTTACATGTTCTCTCTGCACCTGCATTCTCTTTTCCTCCTGGTACTCAGTTCCTCCCACATTCTGAAGACATGCTGTTAGGTAAATTGGCCCTACTATGTGTATGCATGAATGACAGTTAGGGACCTTAGATTGTAAGCTCCTTGAAGGCAGGGACCGATGTAAATGTATAATATATACAGTATGTGTAAAATTGATGGCACTATATAAGTACCTACGATAAAAATTAGGGAGTGTGTTATGGAGGGGGAGGTGCTCTTTAGTCCTAACACACTTCTTGTCCTGAAGGGACAGTGCTGCTCCTTTATAGATACGGTAAAGTGGGTCCTCTCAGAGAAGTGTTTTACTGGCAGGGTCACCAAATAAAAATATACTATTATACAGGATTTATATACCACCAACAATTTGCTCAGCACTATACAATGTATAGGGAAACAATACACCAATGATACAGTTCAGGGTTAGGAGGGCCCTGCTTCTGTTAGGTTACAATCTAATCTAATGAAGTGATGGGAGAAATAGAAGATTTGGTTATTAGCTGAAGGCAGGATAGGCTTCCCTGAAGAAATGTGTTTTCAGAGATCGCCTAAAAGTGGACAGAGTAGGAGATGGTTGAATAGATTGGGGTAGAGCATTCCAGAGGATGGGAGAGGCTTTGGAGAAGTCCTGGAGAAGAGCATGGGATGAGGAGACAAGGGAGCTAGAGTGCAGGAGGTCTTGGGAGGAGCGGATAGGTTTGGGTGATATTTGGAGAAAAGATTGGTAATGTAGTTATAAATGGCTATAACATGTTATTGGTAACGTTTTGAATTTTATTCGTTGGGCAATGAAAAACCAGGGGAGGGATTGGCAGAGAGGGATGGAGGACACTGAGTGGAGGCCAGTGGAGGGATTGGCAGAGAGGGATGGAGGACACTGAGTGGAGGCCAGTGGAGGGATTGGCAGAGAGGGGTGGAGGACACTGAGTGGAGGCCAGTGGAGGGATTGGCAGAGAGGGGTGGAGGACACTGAGTGGAGGCCAGTGGAGGGATTGGCAGAGAGGGATGGAGGACACCGAGTGGAGGCCAGTGGAGGGATTGGCAGAGGGGGGTGGAGGACACTGAGTGGAGGCCAGTGGAGGGATTGGCAGGGAGGGATGGAGGACACGAGTGGAGGCCAGTGGAGGGATTGGCAGAGGGGGATGGAGGACACCGAGTGGAGGCCAGTGGAGGGATTGGCAGAGTGGGGGGTGGAGGACACGAGTGGATGCCAGTGGAGGGATTGGCAGAGATGGGTGGAGGACACCGAGTGGATGCCAGTGGAGGGATTGGCAGAGAGGGGTGGAGGCCAGTGGAGGGATTGGCAGAGAGGGATGGAGGACACTGAGTGGAGGCCAGTGGAGGGATTGGCAGAGGGGGGTGGAGGACACTGAGTGGAGGCCAGTGGAAGGATTGGCAGGGAGGGATGGGAGGACACTGAGTGGAGGCCAGTGGAGGGATTGGCAGAGAGGGATGGAGGACACTGAGTGGAGGCCAGTGGAGGGATTGGCAGAGAGGGATGGAGGACACTGAGTGGAGGCCAGTGGAAGGATTGGCAGAGAGGGATGGAGGACACTGAGTGGAGGTCAGTGGAGGGATTGGCAGAGAGGGATGGCAGATATGGAATGACTAGTAAGGTGGATGAGTCTGGCAGCAGCATTCCTAATAGACTAAATAGAGAGGATAGCCTGCGATGAGGTCGGCCAATGAGGAGGAAGTTACAATAGTCAAGGCGAGAGATAACCAGGGAGTGAATAAGTTGCTTAGTGGTTTCAGTGGTTAAAAAGGGACATATTTTGGAGATTTTGCGGAGGTGAAGTCTACAAGATTACACCTAGTACCCTGGCATGAGGGGAAGGACTGATAGTTGGTTTATTGATCTTGATGGGGGAGGGGGAACAGGCTGCAGGGAATATTATGAGCTCGGTTTTAGAATCTTTGAGTTTGAGGAAGTGGTGTGACATCCATGTTGATAAAGTCAGTTAGTACTTCCTCAAACCCAAAGTAATGCGATAATAAAGAAAAAATACAGCCTGAAAAAAAAAACATCTTAGTACTGGTAAGCTGCAGTATATCACCTTAAATAACTTTGTCACTTACTAGCAATGGGGTCCCGTGTTTATAACAGAACACTGTCCGTGTTTGCAGTTTATGGTGTGAGGGTTCCACCTGCTGCAGTTGGTAACACATAAAAGCTCAGTAGTCCCATTCACACCAAAAAAATACGGTTTAAAGTCTTTGGGAATGGTGGGTACACGTGAGCACATTTCTGGGAAAGAAAGAAAGCAAAACACATAATTCCATTAAAGTCCAAGAAAGATATAGCTGAACAGGTTTTGTTTTCGCTGCCAGTTATTTTAAACCCACAAACATTATACATTGTCCTAAAGCAGACACCCTAGAGAATACAATGGTGGTGGTTTCAATGTTTTATGCCCACATGATATTACCAAAATGGTCTGAGAAATGCAAAATTTCAGAAAAAAAACACTAAAGTAAATTTTAGGCAAACAAACGCAATAAAATGCCCACATTTTAGTAAAATGTAAAGGACGAGGTTGCGCCAAGTATATAGATACCCAACATGTCAAACCTTAAATTTTTGTGCGCCCGTGAAATGGCGACAAACTTCAGTATTCTATATCTTCTATAGGCGAAGCTTCAAAAGCCCCTACAGGTCATCGTTTAGTGTTACGGAGGAGGTTTTGTGCTAGAATTATTGCTCTCATTCCTGCGTGAGCGGCGATATGACCCATGTGTATCACAATCAACAATTGTGTATCCCCCCCAATGTGAGCATTTACATTCATACATGCGTATATGTGGGGGTGGGCCTCAACATTTTTTTTGGGGGGGGGAATTTAAGTGCTTGGGTGTAACTATTTTTGCAAAAAAAAACAATTTTTTTGCTTAACCACAAAGTCCCTTATGTGATGATTTTTTGGTGACAGGTTCTCTTTAATGAGATATGTGGGGGGGTGGTATGGAAGCAATCAGGCAGCAGTGCAGCCACCCGACTGCTTTCACCTGACAGCCAGTAGCCTGCCTGTCAGTTTTATACACAATCCCTGTGGCAGCAGAAACTCCCAGATATCAATCCAGACCTGGTGAAATCACCGCTCTGTACCTAATCACTGGCCAGTCAGTTAGAACCAAACACCTCGGGCCTTAGTTGACTACCACATCCTAGATTCTATCACACTACTAAATATTACTTTAGGGTGGACTGACCCTTTAAAAAGGTATTACTTTGACAATATCTTTGCCTGGTTCACCAGTCTTATACAAGAGAGTGAATACCTGTTAGATCAATGTCTGTTGTGAAATCAACTTCTGTTATATTGAAACAGAGTGTACCTGTAAAATGAAGGAAGTACAGTGTTATAGGGTATAAAAATGATCTTCGTTATCATTTAAAGGGTAACTTTATTTGCATGGGAATAAAAGTAAATAATAAAAAAAAATAACACATACAATTGGTACACAAGCCATATTGTAATTCAATGTTATTAAAATGAACTTTGCTTATCAATCTGCCACCGCTGTCATTTTCTGTAAAATTCAAAGCAATATTGAAACTTTTGGTGTTGTGTACACGGTTGGTGCACAGAATGTCCCCAGAAATGTAATGTCCTGCTTGGCTCACTGATTTTCCCAGATGTCAAATTTTAGGCACCCCTTGTACAACCGTGATAAATAGACTGACGAGTTAAACAACGCCATTGATAGATGCCTACTCTATTGTCAAAATAAAGATGAATATCTGAGGATACGGCTGTTTTATTATTACATGATTCCAGTTTACTTGGTGCTAGGATATTTTTCAGCGTACGGGCTCACTTGAAAGTTATTGTAGGAACTGTTAGTAGTCCCAATCTTGTAGACTTCACCTCCGCAACATATCCAAGATACGGCCGTTCCTAACCTCAGAAACCACTAAGCAACTCATCCACTCCCTTATTATATCTCGCCTTGACTATTGTAACTCCCTCCTCATTGGCCGACCTCATCACAGGCTATCCCTTCTTCAGTCTATCATGGATGCTGCTGCCAGACTTATCTACCTTACTAACCATTCTGTATCTGCCATCCCTCTCTGCCAATCCCTCCACTGGCCTCCACTCAGTGTCCCCCATCCTTCTCTGCCAACCCCTCCACTGACCTCCACTCAGTGTCCTCCACCCCTCTCTGCCAATCCCTCCACTGACCTCCACTCAGTGTCCTCCATCCCTCTCTGCCAATCCCTCCACTGGCCTCTACTCAGTGTCCTCCACCCCTCCCTGCCAATCCCTTCGCTGGCCTCCACTCAGTGTCCTCCACCCCTCTCTGCCATTCCCTCCACTAGCCTCTACTCAGTGTCCTCCACCCCTCCCTGCCAATCCCTTCACTGGCCTCCACTCAGTGTCCTCCATCCCTCTCTGCCAATCCCTCCACTGGCTTCCCATTGCCCAACTGATAAAATTCAAAACATTAACAATAACATATAAAGCCATTTATAACTCTGCCCCAAATTACATCAGCAATCTTGTCTCCAAATATCACCCAAACTATACTCTCCTCCTCACAAGACCTCCTGCTCTCTAGCTCCCTGTTCTCCTCCTCCCATGCTCGTCTCCAGGACTTCTCCAGAGCTTCCCCCTTCCTTTGGAACTCTCTACCCCAATTCATCAGACTATCACCTGCTCTGCTCACTTTTAGGTGATCTCTGAAAACCTATCTCTTCAGGGAAGCCTATCCTGCCCTCAGCTAATAACCAAATCTTCTACTCTTCCTACCAGTCCATCCCCCACAGTTACTACCTAGATTGTAAGCTCCAAGGAGCAGGCCCTCCTATCCCTCTTGTATTGAACTGTATTGTTGCTGTATTGTCACCCTTTATATTGTAAAGTGCTGAGCAAACTGTTGGCGCTATATACTGTAAATCCTATATAATAATAATAATAATAATAATAATTAAGGGCCTAATTTTAGATCAAGTTGTAACACATTCCAATGTTTATGGATAATACCAGAAATGGCTCTATACCTATTATTAAAAGCAGTGATAAATCTAACTTAACTGGGATTGTTAGCTTGTAGGATGGTGACAACTTGTAGGATGGTGACAACTATTGTAGTGGAGGTATGGATTACCAGCCGTTGCCTTACAGTAATTGTTTGTCACTATAGTGTCACCATTATGGGATAATTATAGGTCCAAAAAACTTTTTGAGAATTTTTTTAGAAACTCAAAAACTGAGGTAAAGCTAAGGTAAATTAAAAACCCTAGGTATTATTATTGCAGCGGGAAACAAAAGAGAAGATATCAGCAGAACGGCACCAAATGATGACAATGTCATCTATATACCTTCCGTAGAAGACTATATATTGGGCGAATGGATTGAAATCCCAGATATACTTCTCCTCCCAAAAACCCATCTCAAGATTAGCATATATCATATATTTTGACAATAGAGTAGACATCTACCTTACCAATGTAAAAAAAATGGGTTTTTTTTAACTTGTTAGTCTATTTATCACGGACGTGCCAGCATTTCAGATGGCAAGGGGAATGAATATGCAATCAAACAGTTCATCACTTGCTCATCTGAATGTTTTTTACATTCTGCATTGTCCCTGTAAATTGTGGTACGTAGGACGTACAAAGCGTGCTTTATGTAAAAGAATAGGGGAACACTGTTATAGAATGGCACGACAAACATAGTGTTCCTCACTATTTTCTCCACTGCCACAACAAAGATTTTAGAGCTATAGAGGTTATGTCAATCAAATATATTAACGACGCATCCCTTATGCTCAATAAAGTATTGTCCCTTCTTTCTTTAGAAAGGAAACTTTCTGGATTTTCAAAATGGGCTCTATGGTTCCTCATTGACTTAAAGAGGATTCTGAAGTACATAGTGTGGCTTAACATAAACTGTACGTTCTGGTGATATTACAGATGTGCCTTATGACAGTATATATATATATATATATATATATATATATATATATATATATATGTTTTTTGTTTTTTTCTTATTTTTTTCTTATTATTATTTTTTTTACTATTCTAGCTGGTTTCACGCAGCAAGCCCTGCACCTTTGAGTTCCCATGGCTCCTATTCTGGACGGTCTGCATTCCACAGAGGTCACTTCTGGTGTGTATAGATGTCATTTCTGGTGCGCGGTCTCCATCTATACCGCTGTACATACTGGAGGCCATCTGCCCATTAGTGCTTTTCTCTTTGGCACAATACCATCTGCAAGCCATAGCAGATCACCATCCACAGCAGCTACGCTCATTTCCACCTTTATGCTGTCCACTTGGGCGTCCCTGACAGTCATACAGCAAAGCGGTATGTTACCACTCCACTTTGCCATCATCACAGTCCAGAAGCCGTACTAAAGGGCTCAACCTGGATTTATATTGACTTGCTTTATGCTACTCATCATCGTTATTATGGTGAAATAAACTTGCATTTATATTGAACTACAAATGTGATCTTGTCAACAATTGGCTCACTATCAGTCATTCAGTTGTTCTGGTACCATCTTGGAAACTGGAAAGTGTTGGGATGGACTTGTCATGTCAATTTCTGGGTTTACAGTAAGTCATGGAAGCTATTGGAGACAGCTGTTGCTAAGAAGGTACAGAACGCTAGGTACAGCTGAAAGGCTTTTTTTGTGTACTGCTCTCTGGTTTTGGAGGAGTCTGCTAGTCTGCTTGTTTTTTGGGTGTCCTGCGCCCCTACCCCTCTCTCCCTGAAA